CTCAAAAAGAAAAAAAACAAAGACACCCGACCCTTAGCAAAAAGTTTATGACTTGCTAAAGGCTCAGATGATCACTAGCATTTTTGGGCAATAAAGTATTTTAAAATTAAAGTATGTACTTGTTTGTTTAGACATAATGCTATTGTGCACAATACATTGCAGTATAGTGTAAATATAATTTTATATGTACTGGGAAATCAAAACATTTGCGTGACTCACTTTAACATATTTACTTTATTATGATGGTCCAGAACTGAACCCACAATATCTCTGAAGTATTCCTGTAACAGCTTTATCAAGATACATCTCACATACCATACAATTGACTCATTTAAAGTACACCATTCCATGGTTTTTAGTATAAGCCCAGAGTTGTGCAGTCATCACCGCAAACCATTTTAGAAAACTTTTACCATCCCCAAAAGAAATCCTGTACCCGTTAGTGGTCACTCCCTCTTTTACTCAGCTCTGGAACCACTGTTCTCTCTCTATAGATTTGCCTTTTCTGGACATTTTATATAAATGAAATCATACAATATGTGGCCTTTTGTGATGCTTCTTTCACTTAGCATGTTTTCAAGATTCATCTATTTTGTAGAATATGCATATCTTATGTGAACTATTGTTCAAGTCTTTTGCCAAATTTTTAGTTGGGTTCCTTTTTAAATATAGAGTTATAAGAGTTCTTTATATATTTTGGATACAGTCCTTTGTCTTTGTCAGTTATAGTATTGCAAGTATTTTTTTCCACTGTGGCTTGCCTGGTAGGTAAGTGTTTGACACATAGAGTAACTGTTACCTCCAAGGCTATGACTCATAAGCCTATCAACAAAAGGGCTTTACTGGAATTTCTTCTTTGCTTGGTAAACTAGCTCCTACAGTAAGAAAAAGGGTGCTAAATTTTGATCCTTTTAAAAAATTTATTTTATTCAGACCAAAAATTGATTTTCAAAGCAATAAACAAAGTACTCGTAAAGATCAAATTACACTAATAAGAAACCACAACTAAAAGTTATTCAAATACCTAATAGAACATTCGTTTAGGTGTGGAGGTTATTTGTGTATTTTTTATTTTCTGTTTCCAGCATGTTTAGAACATAAAAGTCATTCTTCACCTATTGCACTTATTGATGAAAAATCTACAAATGATCATTTATCACTTCCACAAAAGAGTCCATCTCTGGCAAAAGAAGTACCAGATCTATGTTTTTCTGATGAATATTTCTCTGACAAAAGAGCAGCAAAAGAAGAAAAAACAAAGAATGACCAAGAACCAGTAAATAGAATAATCCAAAAGAAAGAAAATGAAGATCACTTTGAACTTGACTGCACAGGACCATCTGTTAAATCATCTTCCTCTTCAATAATTAAAAAAGCATCTTTTGAACATGGTAAAAAACAAGAGAATGATTTGGACCTTTTGAGTGACTTTATTATGCTGCGAAATAAATATAAGACTTGCACCTCAAAGACTGAAGTCACAAACAGTGATGGAAAACATGGTAGGTAATTTAATAATGTTTTGCCATAGATATGGTAGGCTCAAAGGCTAAGCACATAATTTATTATAGAAGGCCAGGAGATAAAGTTCTTCTAGATAAAATTATATTATTTTTCATAGTCAAGGAAAATGTCATTGATTCTTGATACTTCTTGTATACAGATAGATATGGATATATAGGCATGATTTAGATATAGATATGTATTTTTCAAAAAACCTAAAAATGCATTTGAATTTGTAACAAAAGCCACTATTTATAAAACTTGCTTTCTATGACATGGCCTTAGAAATTCATAGTATTTCTAACTTTTGTTGGTCAATTCTGCCATTCTTTTTTCTCTTTCAGCTATCAGTCCTGTCTCAGTATTTTAAATCATATTTTTATGTGTACTTGAAAGAAAATTTTCTCTGCCTACTTCATTGTGTATTACTCTTTCTAACATTACCTAACAGTTTCTGTGTGAGTTGTAACTGTCTTATATTCACTGCTTACAGCCACATCAAAGGTAATATAATATGTCATTTTACTTCCCATAAAAATAAAATAGGCATTCCAGAATAAGTTTGACATAGGTTACCCTGATGAAATAAATACACAATATATTTATTTATTTATTGGCTGCTATTGTTTATTCCTAAATTTCAGTACACATTCAGTTTATTCCTAAATTTCAGTACACATTTCAACCTAATGACTAGGGACATTGGAAACTTTCAATATTTATATATCGTTACACTCAGAAACACCAGAAATATTTTCTAATGATCAATTTGTTTGATAAATCCTATTCTTTCTTTCTTCATAAGGTTAATAATATTATCATAAATACAGGTATCTTTATGCTTTATAAAGCACTTTTACATGTATTGTCATATTTGTTCTGTTTAGAAACTTTGTTGAGAAATCAAAGTAGGTAGTATTACCCCATTTCACAGTTAAAGAATACAAAAATATTTATGTGACTCAGAGACAGTTAGGTCTTACAGTCTCATATACTATTAATAGACAAAAGATCTTCAGTTCTTAATGTCATGATGGTTATATTTATTTTTCTAAAAGATGTGACAACCTTTTATAAATCTGCTTAAAGTAATATTACTGGGGCTCACACCTCTAATCCCAGAACTTTGGAAGGCTGAGGCAGGAGGATTGTTTGAGGCCAAGAGTTTGAGACCAGCCTGAGCAACATAATGAGACCCTATCTCTAAAATTAGCCGAGTGTGGTGGCACACACATGTGATCTCAGCTACTCAGGAGGCTGAGGTGGGCAGATGCCTTAGCCCAGGAGTTTGAGGTTATGGTGAGCTGTCATTTTTTAAAAAGTAATATTACTGTGTCAATCAGTGCATTTTTCGTGGTAAAAATGCAGAATAATATTTAAAGATTTCAGAATTCTGTGATCTTTTCTATTTCTACATATTCAACTTAAAGTTTCTTTTTATGTAATATTTTGGCCACCTTATAACTTACCTTGCCAGATGACAGTTCTGTATGTAACTGAGCTTTTTCTAACCAATATTTGGACCATAATTGAAGCATCACTTCTGCATAAAAATAAGCAAAATATAAATAATTATTGTATAAATGTCATAAAAAAATAGGAATTTTTCAAAGATTTGTTATTGTCAGATTTGTTCATGTTTTCTGATCCTATTTATATTTGGTGCAAAAAAGGAATCCACACCAAAATTAACACTGACATCTTTTTCTGGTTGCCATAGTGGTGATAATGGCTTATGATAGGGTATATTATCAACAGAAAGTGAGGGAAAGCAGCAAGAAAGGAGGAAAATGTAAAAAAGAATAAAATAGGAAAGATCACAAAATTCTGAAATCTTTAAATATTATTTTATCTTTTCTTATTAAAAAAATTAGCCATTCATTTACTAAACAATTAAAGGAACATGAATGTTATGGAGGGAATGCTTCTGTACTCCTGATGTTTCCTCAATTAAGTGTTAGGTTCCTGGCCTCTTTGCCTTTTTATACATCTCTCCAGAGGAGACAGAAAGAATGATCTGAATTGTAAAGTCAAAATAATAAATTGGACATAAGTTGTGGGAATGGTTGCCCAGGAAGAACAGGAATTCTCCTTGGTTTTTCTATGTCATGACTCTTTCCTGGGCAGTGCCCCTGACTTCCCCCACCCTTCCTGGACCCAGTGGGGTATCCTATCCTAGTCCAGCATACCCTAGGACTGGGTGGGTAACTGTCTAATTCTGGTGTTTAGTTAGCAAGCTCATTTGACTCTAAAACTAAATTCTATTCCCCAACTTAGCCTTTAATAGTAATAGAGGTAATATTTTGGCGTATATTTTACTTTTTGTCTTATTTTACAGTTAATTCAGGGGCAAGAAATATTATAAATTCTTAGACCCCCTCAAAAAGTTTAATAATTAATATTATTTGATCATATCTATTCTGATTATTTATGGTTAATTGAAAGTATTACTTGAAAGTAGCATTATTAATCCAGTATAGAATATAGTCCATTATTATATTTTTAACCATGTATTTAAAGATGTTAACATGTTTCTGGAATTGTTTTGTAATCGTATTACTGATGGATAATACTACTATATGGTTAAAATAACTGCATTTTTATGTGTTTGTGTGTAAATCCTCCATAATGCTTAGGAAAGAAGAAATCCTCTATAATACCTAGGACAGAAAGAAAACTAACGTTTATTAGATACTTTGTGCCTGGCACTAAATTATATATTAGAGATAAATATGATGCTGTTGCTGACCTTGAGAAGCTCACAGCATAATAGAGCAGGTCAGATATGCAGATAGATCATTTCAATTCAATGTGGTGAGTACCAGTAGAGAAGTCTTCACAGAGTGCTAAAGAAACAAAGGGCGGAGCCCTTTACTGGCCTGGAAGTAGGATGGGCAGTTACATATGACTTTTTATAGAAGATGCCTGAGACCTGCAGGGTACAGCAGTAAAACTAGGCCCAGGTCAGGCGTGGTAGCTCATGCCTGTAATCCCACCACTTTGGGTAGGCAGATCCCTTGAGCCCAGGAGTTTGAGACCAGCCTGGACAACACAGGGAGACCCTCTCTCTATAATAATAATAATAATAATAAATTTAAAAAATAAATTAGCCTAGGATGGTTGTGCATGCCTGTGCTCCCAGCTACTTGGGAGGCTGAGGTGGGAGGATTGCTTGAGCCCAAGAGGTCAAGGCTGCAGTGAGCCCTGATCATACCAATGCACCCCAGCCTGGGTGACAGAGGGAGACCCTGTCTTAAAAAAAAAGAAAAGAAAAAGAATTGGCCTGGTTAGAAAAAGATGGAAATAGGGAAGGTTTGGGGCAGAGGAGAGGGTTAGTAATAGAAGAAAGGGTATGTGGAGAGTCACAGAGAAATTAAGTAGAACAGTACATACCTTCTGTGTCAGAAACTGCACTTGGTATTTAAAGCAGATATATTTACCCATATTTTACATATGAGGAAACTGAGTCAGAACTGAGCTCAAAATGCTGATCTGATATCAAAGTTTTTTTCCATTTTTGCCATTCATCTTCCTACCTAGCAGTGTTAGGTCCATTGATCTGAATAGTTGTTCACTTTAATAGTGATGTGTTTCAATGAAGAAATTTAACAACTGTTATCATATTTTTAAAAATTAAGGTAAAACAACATTAAGTTCCTCTTGAACAACAAAAATTTATATTTTTTATTGGAATTTCAAGATAAAGAAGCATGTTCTTTGACACTTCAAGAAGAAAGTCCTATTGTTCATGTTAATAAAACCCCGGAGGAAATAAATCAGGAAAGGGGAACAGATAATGTCATTGAAATTCAAGCGTCAGGTATGTTATATGCTTTTAAAATGCATTCAGATTTGCTTAGTTTGAAAGCCCTTTCCTAGATAGCTAGGACATACCTCATTTTCCATGTCACTTTCTTCACTTGTTTCAGGTATTTCTTCATTCCACTCCTACTTTCAAGTTATATCCCGACCTAGAATGCCCTGTTCACTGCCCCTGCCTCTCCCCATTGCCTTACCCAAGTGACTCAAGTGTTATTTCTTCTTTCATTTAAACTGCTGCTACTTCCCTATATCAATCAGAACAACTGTACCTCCTTGGACTCTTCTGCCCAGTCTGGAAAATGAACTGCTAATCATGCTCTCTCTCTTCTCTTACTTGCTATCAGAGTGATGTAAATAAGTTACTATTGATTCCTATATTGATTTTTTTGTTATGCTATAAAGAAGAGTATTCTTTGACTCCTAAAGAACAGCCTGCTTAAGAACATCAGATTCATTATTAAAATCAATAAGGAAATATGACCCAGGTTCTCAAATATCTTTTCATTCTTTTGGTCTCTAGATGATTATGCCAATCTTTAAATAATGTTATTCTAGTGATAACTGGAAAAATTTTTCATTGTTTGGCTTAAGATTGTATGCTAATAGTGGAGAATGGCAAAGAAAAAAATGCAGTTCTCTTTATATGGGTATTTATATTTGCCATGTCAAGTTAATTATGGAATAAACCCTCTCTAATAAATAATAAAGGCCGGGCGCAGTGGCTCACGCCTGTAATTCCAGCACTTTGGGAGGCCGAGGTGGGCGGATCATGAGGTCAAGAGATAGAGATCATCCTGGACAATATGGTGAAACCCCATCGCTACTAAAAATGCAAAAATTAGCTGGGTGTGGTGGTGTCTGCCTATAGTCCCAGCTACTCAGGAGGCTGAGGCAGGAGAATAGCTTGAACTCGGGAGGCGGAGGTTGCAGTGAGCCGAGATGGCGCCACTACACTCCAGCCTGGTGACAGAGCAAGACTCTGTCTCAATAAATAAATAAATAATATAGCCATAAAATGATATAATTCCATGTTTGTTTTTATTAGTTTATTTAGAATAAATATCTTAAAATAAGTTTTTATACAATCTCATTATTTTTAACTCAGAAAATAATTCAGATAGAAATTCAGATTTCCACGAAATAACTTTTATCAAAATGAGCATACCATCTTTATTAAAACACTGCCATTAATGCTTTTATTTTTGCAGATAGCCAGTGCCAAGCATTTTGCCTCCTTGAAGCAGCAGCTTCTCCTATCTTAAAAAATCTTGTATCCTCCTGTACTCTCCCTACTGCTAATTGGAAATTTGCCACTGTTATTTTTGACCAAACAAGGTTTCTCTTAAAGGAACAAGAAAAAGTAGTAAGTGATGCTGTTCACCAAGGTGAGTGCAACTAAAAGTCACATTATTTAAAAAAGATGTTTAGAAATTATTGTATCAAATTAGTACAAATTGGGTATAGAAGGTTCAGAAATTAGTCATAGATGATGGCATGACTATAATTCAGCTTATGATACCCAGCCAAATCAATACTGGAGGATCAGCTAAGCAGAGAAAAAGGTAAGAAATATCACCTGGCATTACTTCTTAGTGAAGCTCCTAATTGACATATATTACTTGACAGATTCCTATTGCAGAAACTAACTTTATTATTGTCAGCATATGAACCATTCAGTCTCCTCCCAAAAAAGGTCAAAAACTAGATTAATTAAAGTCAATCCTAGACTTTTTATTTCCACCAAGATGGAGTAACAGGGACTAGATTTACCCTCCTACCAGAAATAACAACAAAAAAGACAAAGACAAAATACATAAAACCAGTTTTTAAGACCCTGGACATCAGGCAATGAAGAACAGTGGTTCCTGAGAGAGAGGAAATGAGTGAAATGAGCCCTACCATTACCCAAGCTACCTGTCTTGAAAGAATTGCCAGGCCAAGGTGTAGGGAGAGTTACCTGAGGCAGAGCCTGGTGGACAATTTAAGTTGAGGAGACAGGAGGTAAGAGTCCAGGGAGACCAAGACAGACAAGAGTTCAAAATAGAATGTTAGACAGCAGAGAGCTTCACACAGAGAGTATAGAATTGTGCAGAGCCTCTCCCTCGAGTATTCAGCAGATGATTGATCAAAGAATATATGTGAGGTGGCCAGGCGCAGTGACTCATGCCTGTAATCCCAGCACTTTGGGAGGCCGAGGCAGGCGGATCATCTGAGGTCAGGAGTTCGAGACCAGCCTGGCCAACATGGTGAAACCCCATCTCTACTAAAAATACAATAATTAGCCTGGTGTGGTTGCGGGCACCTGTAATCCTGGCTACTTGGAAGGCTGAGGCAGGAGAATCGCTTGAACCTGGGAGGCAGAGGTTGCAGTGAGCTGAGGTCACACCACTGCATTCCAGCCTGGGCAACAGAGTGAGACTCCATCTCAAAACAAAAACAAAAACAAACAAACAAAGAATATATGTGAGGAAACTACCTGGAGTTGGAGAAACAAACCATCTGAAAGGACTAGGGGGACTACTATGCTGTATTCACACAGGGAAGGAATAATGGCTGTTCCTACCAGCTAGACTAGAAAAACTCGTAATTCATAGAGGATTAAGGAGAGTACTCAGAAAAATCTTGCCTCAGTAGTGGGGGATAATTATCCCTAGACTTAGCACTGCTCTGAACCTGCCTAACAAATCACAAAGCAACACCCCAAGGATCAAACTACTTCCAAGGAACTTAGCGGCATCCCATCATAAAGCACAAGAGGATTGATACGAATACAAGAATACCCAACAAGGTAACAGTCATAATGTCTAGCATCCAATAAGATCATGAAGTATACAAAGAGGCAGGAAAGTACAACCCATAATGAGAATAATAAATCAAAACAAACCCAGAATCAACAAAGACATTAGAATGACCAGAAAAGGACACTAAAACTTCTTATTACTGTTTTCTGTATGCTTGAAAAGTTAAAGACTTTTAAAAAGACCTAGATCAAACTTCTAGAGACTAAACTACAATGCATGAGATGAAAAATATAGTGGGTGTGATTAATGGCAGATTAAATATTGCAGAAGAAAAAATTAGTAAACTTGAAAGCATAGCAATAGAAACAGTCACTCTGCAAAAACTGTAAAGCACGAAAGAATGAAAAAGAAATAAAAGAGCATCAGTAGGCTGTGGAACAACTTAAAGTAGCCTAACATACTGTAATTAGCATTCTCAAAAGAGAGGAGAAAAGAGAGTAAATGGAAAAAATATTTGAAGAAATAATGACTGAAATCTTTCTAAACGTAATGAAAACTACAAACCCACAGATGCAAACATCTCAATGAACACTTAATACAAGAGACACAAAGAGGGTTCACATAATCAAATTACTCAAAACCAATAATAAAAAGAGAACTGTAGGAGGAACCAGAGGAAAAAAACACATGCCACATGCAGGAAACAAAGATAAGGGTGACATGAGAGTTTTTGACATAAATAATATAAATGAAAAGACAATGAGTAACATTTTGAAAATTCTGAAAGCAAAAAACATCAACCTAGTTTTCTATATTAGACAAAATGAGGACTTCTCTTGGAGCTCTTTCTGTCCACATGGTGGTAATCACTTGTGGGCCTTGGGCTGCTTTAGTGTAGGCCAGTAAATACCAGAAGCAGAAAAAATAGGAAACTCACCACTTGTTTGGTGGCATTTTGAAATCTGATCTCCTTCCCCAGTCCACTTGTTACCATTTACTTCTAGAGTTTTTAGATAGCTGTTTCATGTATTCTGTTTTGTGTTTATAGTTGTGTTCAATGGAAGAGACAAGGTGGAGTGTACTTACTCCATCTTACCTGGAATCTACTTAATTTGTTTTTAAAGTCTGTTTTCTAAATTCATTAAACTTAGATGTCCTATATATTTTTTAAAGGTTAACTCTCTTTTACAAATGAAAAGAAAGTTGAATCTAATCTTATTCCATATAGAGTGCCCAGTCTTTGAGGGGAACAACATTTTAGTCACCAAAACCTTGAGGTCACAGTAGTATTACTTAGATAGAATACTTGATCTGAGAGGAAGGTGTTAATCCATAGTTTACTACTTGAAATACCTGAGCCACAGAAAGGCATCAAGATCAACACTTTGGGGAGCTGGCATTCTGGCAATGATTCTACTGGATAGAAAAACAATTGTCAGCAAACTGGCCTTTATGAAAGAAGACAAGACTTACATAAATAAAAACTCATCTTCTGGATATAGTTTCAGTCCTGTAATTCTCAGGTTTTACATTAGCTGAATATGGGTTGAGCTTCTAAAGGCTTTGAACATCATTGAGCAGAATGATGACTATTATAAAATATACAGCATAAGTATGTATGAAGTATAATGGAGGACAAAAAAGGGACATGGTTTTGGGTATCTAATTGGAACAATATTGCATTAATCCCAAGCAAGTGAATAGTTGTTATACTTAATATTCTTTCATTGGCCCTGGAATTGACATAAAACTAAGCCTACAAGTAACGACTAAGTAAACCTAGATTAAAAGAAGTCAGATCATTTCCCAAACTAGTTTCCTAGTCTGTACTCCATTTTCCAAGCATTTTTACATTTCTAGTTCCCCAAATATGTTTTCTCTGCCCTATTCTCATCTCTTGCAGGTCATGATTGACTTGTTCCCACAAGTCCTTCTAGGGGCTGAATATACTACCCATAATTGGCTTTCCTGTTGCCTCTTAATTCCCTACTACAGATTGGCCTTGATCTTCATTGAATAGATCATCAATTTGCAAACTTTTTAGCAGAATTCTTTGTTCAAATAAATATTTCATGAGATCCCAATACATGAAAAAGAAAAGTAGAGCTTCTCTGGTTGAATTGGGGCAGGGGGTCTAGAATCCCATCTTCTTGGTCTCACTTTTATATGCAAAAAAATCCAATCTATCATCCAAAAAGCTCTGGAACTAAATGGAACACAAGTAGGCAATTAGCCTGTCCCTGTGAGTTTATCTTTTGTTTGAGTTATAACTTTAAATGAATATTCCTAGGTGTCTACCTCCATTTCAAGGTATTTCTTCATGTTATGATCCTCTACTTTTATCTTAACCAGTTGGCAAGTTATGAATTTATTTTTATTCTTGTTTCATATCTGGGAATCGTTGACTGTTTTTCCCAACAGGAGTAGAAATAACTGAATATTCTTTGGAAGCAACAAGGGCATGAATTCTCAGGTTAGCTGAGTTTAAATGACAGCTCTACCATTTACTCACTAACTGACCTTGGACAGTTACTTAACCGCATTAATACTATTTCCTTTTTCATAAAATTTGGATCATAATAAACTTGTCTGATAGGATTATTGTTATGGATTCAATGAAATAGGCAACTTATATACAGCCTGGCATATAGTAAGCACTCAATAATAAATGTTAGCTCCCATTATTAGGCAGATTCTGATACATATTCTAAAACTGTAATATATAGTCTATGTTTTAAAATGTATTTTTGCTTACTTAGGTACAACTGATGAAAGAGAAATGACTTTCAAGCATGCCGCTCTCTTACATCTTCTGGTAACAATTAGAGATGTCCTTTTAACATGCAGCTTGGACACAGCATTGGGTTGGTGGGGAATATTTTATTTCCCCTTTTCTTCCTATTACATATTTCATGAAATAACTTACTTTTCTGAAAAAGATGCACCTTATAAGAAATGATGTAGCCTTCTTTTCTATTATACTAAGCATTACATACATTTTAACATAATTCTAATGAGATATATACATTTTATTCTGCTTGTATTCATTAAAAGAAACTGTCCTTAACACTATCATCACCTAGAAAAATAGGTTTAGGATTCTCTAATCTAGCAGATTTGATTGTATAATCATTATCATGCATGACTTTTTAATGTGAGATTTGACATTTTGCCATAAACATTTTGGGTCCTTATTGCATGTTTGTGGCTTTGAATCTTTGTTATGTAAAATATAACTATAAGGAGTAAGATCTTTTGTAATTTCTTTTTTAGTCATGTCTATATTAGCATATGAATTACTTGGGTAATAAAAATCAAACTATTTTGAACATATTGTAAATTTCTAAGATTTTGGAATTTTTTTATAATCTTATCAAAATTAAAATGTCTGTCTTACTACATTACTGCTTTAGGCCCCTTATTGCAGGACTATTTAGACTTTTTTTTTTTTTTTTGAGACAGAGTTTTCCTTTGTTACCCAGGTAGGTGTGCAGAGGTGTGATCTCACTGCAACCTGTAACCTCTGCCTCCTGGGTTCAAACCATTCTCCTGCCTCAGCCCCCTAAGAAGCTGGAATTACAGGTGCCCGCCACCACACCTGGTTAATTTTGTATTTTTAGTAGAGACAGGGTTTCACCACGTTGGCCAGGCTGGTCTCGAACTCCTGACCTCAGGTGATCCACCCGCCTTGGCTTCCCAAAGGGCTGAGATTACAAGCGTGAGCCACCACACCCAGCCTAGACTTGTTTAATAATGGTATGTTTATGGAATTAGGTTTTATAATTTAGAGTTCCTAGAACCTATTTCAAACATAAAGTAAAAATAAATTTCCTCTGATCTAAGACCCAGACATTTTCTCTTATTTATGATCCAGACATAAATATTATTTTTCTAATCCAAGGTTTGGTAACTATTGAGCAGCAGTGAATCATAAACGTACTCCGTCTAAAGAAGTGGGATCTCAGATATTCTAGATTCTGAAATTCTGTTTTAATATCATGAGTAGTAACCAATCTCACTGTTTGTAGAGCCAGCAATCTTTTATAGAAGCTGAGAAGCACAATGAAGTCAGGTGACTAAATAAAAGGGCACGTGACACTACAAGCTTATGCTTGTTTCAGGTACTGTAAAGTAGGGTTGTTAGTCCCCAATCCTTACTTGTCTGAGGATGGAGATAAGACAGCCTGGTCCAGTATTAACACTCAAGTGGTTTAATTGAAGAAAAAAAGAACAGCACCATGTTGGGCTTTCTAAAGGTAGCTGTAGTTTAGTAATAATATTTGGCCAAGTGCATGATCTAGACAAGTACAGTATGCTCAATACTTACCAAAGCCTTGGATTAAATAAATAATATTTATGGGCCGGGCACCATGACTCACGCCTGTAATCCCAGCACTTTGAGAGGCTGAGGTGGGTGGATCACCTGAGGTCGGGAGTTCAAGACCAGCCTGGCCAACATGGTGAAACGCTGCCTCTACTAAAAATACAAAAATTAGCCTGGTGTGGTGGTGCGCACCTGTAGTCCCAGCTACGCAGGAGGCTGAGGCAGGAGAATCACTTGAACCCCCCAGGCGGAGGTTGCAGTGAGCCAAGATCACACTATTGCACTCCAGCCTGAGCAAAAAGAATGAAACTCCATCTCAAAAGAAAGAAAGAAAAGAAAAGAAGTAATATTTATGGAGGTTGGCTTAAACAATATTTATCTTTAAGTAGTTTAGTCTATAATTTACCCTAGTTAAGTGAGACCACTGAAAGATTTATACTTGGACTGAATTCTTTATGTTCCTCTAAGAAATGCATTTACTAAATCATACTTTGGCATTACTATTTATCTACCTTAAGGAATACTATAAAAGTAAGATTCTTGTTGGAAAAGGAACTTCTTAATCTCCAGGTATCAAGCCATATGAATAATCTAGTTGCTTTGGACATTTTTAGTAGAGGGCTTTCTCATTTCTCTATACCTCTTGAAAGCCAAGATCAAGTTAGGTTGTCCTTTCTCTCTGTATAATGGCAGAGGGAAAAAAAAAAAAAATCCATGGAGGTCTGGCTGCCTGCCCTGCCCACTCCCAGAATTATGTGTTTTCTCCTAGCTTCCAGTTTGCCCCCTCTCCCAACCTGGCAAGGTAGTGAGTTTTAGGTTCAAATAATAGAGTTTCTCTTCTGGGCTTTAACCTAGAAATAAATTCAGTATTTATTATGGAATGTGATAGGTATTACAACAGAGATATATTGTAGTGGCACAAAGGATGGAGACTACTCTCCTTAAGATGAATATGTTTTTAAAAAAAATAAGTAGAAGTTTGCCAAGTAGATACAGTATAAAAGAGTATTCTAGGCAGAATTAAGAGCCCAGAGGAATGGACCAGTGGAAATGTTGCCAACAGTTCCATGCAGTTAGATTGAAGAGGACAAAGTAGAGGGCAAACAGGAGCTAAGCCTGGAGAAATAAGAAAAGACCAAATCACGGAGAGCCCTTTAAGCTACACAAAAGAATTTCAGGGATGCTACTGGATTACATTTATTTTTCAAAAGGTTAATTCTGATGGCAATATGGAGAATCAGGGGGAGGTCTGAAGATGAGGAGGCAGAAAGAACATAAGTCAGTCTCTAAGTTGCCCATCAGTCTAGCAATTTTAATATAAAAATAGAATTAATATGCACACATACGTAAAACTTGTACATAGACATTAAATTTTTTTAATTTATTATTTCATTTGTTACCCAAATATTCATTAAACACCTCATCTATGTAAGTTACCATGCCAGGTGCTCAAGTGCAGTAATTCACAAAATTCTGTGCAGCAGAATCACATGGAGAGAAATCATTAGGACACAATCTAGAGGTACTGAATATGAATCTTCAAGGATGAGTCTATGTTTAAAAATGCCCTTGGTGAGCCTGAATTAGGCACTGCTGTTTTAGCGGCCATATGAATTAAATATGTATAAATACCCCATGTTCTACCCTGAAAGAGCTTATAGGCTAAGTGATATACATAAATAAGCAGATATCAAGTACAAAAGTTGTACAGATAAAATGCCAAGAAAATTCCACTTAAGTAGCCTTTCAACAGGACTTCCATGTAAATATAGGTCCTGGGATTTAGGAAGAGTGCAATAGCATTCAACAAGCCAGGAGGCAGGATAGGTTCTATATTCAGAAAGTATGTAGCATATATTAATGTGTATATATATATATAGCTTAAAAAGAGATATGTGGTACATACTTTTAAGCTTCACTCAGTTTTAAAGTTTTTATTAGTCAATATCTTTGATCAAAATCAGAAAACAATTAAAGGAAATTTTAACTGTCTCTGCTTTGACTCATTTTCTTTCAGCCTTTTTTACCGTGGAGTTTCTTTAAAAGCAAAGACTTAGACATTTTTTTTCTAATTTTGCTTCAATAGGATATTTATCAAAGGCAAAAGATATCTACAACAGCATTTTAGGCCCCCATTTGGGTGACATTTGGAGACAGCTGGAAATTGTACAGTTTATTAGGGGGAAAAAGCCTGAAACCAACTACAAGATACAAGAATTGCAATGTCAGATACTAAATTGGATGCAAAGTCAACAGCAAATTAAGGTTAAGTATTGGAATAAAGCAGGTAAAATAATCAGTTTAAGTAAGAATTGGATGTAAGATACATTTTTGCATTTAACTTTAAAATTATGAAGTAGTCTATACTACTTAGTCCCTTGATGGTTTAGTCCTTGAATAAGGTAACAGAACAGAATCAGAACCATAGAAAGGATGATTTGCATCATTATTCATGTCTCAAATTTAAAAATACTTTACCAGTGTGGGCAATATAGTGAGACTTTGTCTCTATAAAAAATTTTTTAAATTAGCCAGGCATGGTGGTGTGCACCTATAGTTCCACCTATTAGGGAGGTTGAGGTGGGAGGATCTCTTGACCCCAGGAGGTTGAGGCTGCAGTGAGCCATGATTGTTCCACTGCACTTCAGCCTGGGAAAAAGAGCCAGACCCTGTCTCTAAATAAATAAATAAACAAACTTTAGTTTTTATTATGCATGGTTTTCCTATGGATTGGTTCTCCAATTGTCAGAAATTTTGTCTGGTACTTATATAAGTCCATGAACATATACATAATAATATAACTCAATGATTTATTTTAAAATACCGAGCCAGAATCTCATATGATTCCACCAAAACATACATTTAGTTTTATGCCTTGGATTACATTCACAATTATTTGCCTACCCTACATCAAGCATATAAAGATTGCATTAATGAAGTTTTAACAGAAAAAGCTTTTTAAAATCTTATCAAGCAGAAAAGCATTTCAAATGGTTTACACTAAAAATCCAGATATAAATTTATGTGGCCTTTTTCTGATTTTTCACTCTGTGCCTCCTATTTCTTAACCACAACTTTATAGTTTCTTGGGTAATAACTTTCTTAAGTCATTAAAATAATTTAATCTAAGTGAGAAATTTGAAATTGAAACTGATTTGCTCTCCCCACCTCTCCCCCACAAAGCTGTAATGGTAAGTCGGAAAATATAGCGGTAGATCACTGGTTTTCTCCAACAAATTTAAATGTGTGAGTTGAATTTAACACTAACAGAGACAACCTATGTATTGATAGTCACATATGTGGGGATACTTGAAGAATGCTAAGAATGCCCTACCCCGAAATATTTTCTTCACCGATATTTGATCTTAACAGAATATATTCCTTGTGTTTAAGTGTTGACATCTTTTACAACAGAAATATTTGCTTTGTAATCTTATTGTCATTAGTTTCATAGGACCAATTAAAGTGTGTTATTTTTGTCACTGTATTAAAACTGTGAAAAAGAATAATCATTCACACATACATGAAATTTTTATTTTTGACTAGGTACTGATTATAATAAGAATGGACTCAGATGGTGAAAAACATTTACTCATTCAAATTCTTAACAAAATAGAAGGTAGGCAGTTTTAAATTATGCTTCATTTGATAACAAATGCTTGAACTTATAAAAATGTATTGATCTAACCAGCTTTTAAAATTAAGACATAATTAACATAGTATAAAATTCACCCTTTGAAAGTGTATAACTCATTGGGATCTAACCAGCTTTTAAATCAATCTGGACTATAAGTTTGCAGTATAAATATACTACAAGGTGTTTATATGTATTTGTTATTACTAATAATTGACACCTTTTATTGATTGCCTACTAGTTGCTAAATAATATTAGTTACTTACAACTCTATGAATAGGTTTTATTAACTCGGTTTTACAAATAAAGGAACTAAAGTTCATGCTAAAGGTGATGTAGCTTGCCAAATCTCACAGGTAGTTAGGGAATCAGGACTTGAAACTAGGACTCTCATTTTAGTATCATTCTTTCTTCAACTCTCAGTTCTTCAGTTCTCTTGTCTGTTTTCCTCACTTACTATACTTTTCTACCCACTACTGCCCCTTCTGTCAACCCTTTCCACTTTGTGCTGTAGAATCCATTGCTTGTTATGCAAACTCTTCTCATTCTTCATCTCCTTTGTCTTAACTTAAGCCCAACTTTCTCCATGATACTACTTCCTCTCATATAAAAGCTAATCATTTTCTCTACATATATATGCTTCATAGAGATGAGAAAGCCATTTCTCGCTTTCCATTATCACTTTCAAAACATTATTCCTCCACCTTTTGAGACTGTGCCATATTGCCATACCATTGTCTACCACTCATCATCTCCTAACCACCTGGTCATTTCCCATCATCCATGGACAATTGTGTACCTAGCTCATGGTATTCTTTACGCTTCTAGTCCTGTCATTATTCTAGGTGTCTTTAATGTTCCTAATGTGAAAGATTCATTCAACACCCTGGACTTATAGTTTCATTGGCCTCCACAACAAAAATTATATTCATCTTCAGTTCCTTGGCTACGCCATGGAACTTGTGATAATGCATAACTGTCCTACCTCTGAATTTTAAATTCTGATACATTGCTCTTTGTCTATACCTATAGCTCTTTCATGATCTTCAACATCTTAGAGATCTATAATCTACCAGCTACTTTTTTTGTTTCATCTCCTTTTCTTTCCAGACTCAGTGATTTGACCCATCACTTTAATCAGTCTTATGCTTCTATTGTACTTTTCATTTAAACCTCAATCCTGAATCAATCAATTCATTTAACTTCTCTATTCCTACACCTGAGATGCTGAGCACTATTGGAGAGAATCACACAGCCATATAGATTGGTACTACTACAAACTCATGCCCTCTAAATTTACCTGGGCTCTTAAGACATCTTAATCTTTTTATATATTCTTAGTTCCACTCCTATTTTCCAAATGACTATACCAAAAACTCCTACTATGTTAACCCATCCTTTCATTTTTTGGAAGGGAATTGTGCCTTCTAATTTTCATTAATCATGTAAGTGTCCTCCTCAGTTTCCTTCCCTACCATTGTTGTAGAAAAACCGGGCTCTTATCACATGACCAGAAAAGATTAGGCTCGCAGACACTTTGAAGGGTGAGGAGCAGAATTTATTGGGTGAAAAGGAAAAAACTCAGCAAAGCGAGAGGAGTTCCTGTTAACAGGCCCCCATCTCACAGATTGAATCCCAGGTTATCACACAGGAACAGGAGAGGACAGGATCCTCCCTCCTTCAAACAGCAGGAACTTCCCAAGGCCTCATCCCGTCTTCCCAGTGCGCAGGTGGGCATTATTCAGAAAGAATCAGTTATGAAAGGTTGGGCTTCATCCAGGACCGGCAGTCTGGTTTTTCAGCCTTCAGGCTGTTTTAGGCTTTAAGGAGGGGTTTCGCGGGGGGACCATTGGCTACCTCCTGTCTCCATCACCATTTATAGACTTGCCTGCATTTCTCTCTGTTCTTTATCCTTTCCTCTTTTCTCTATAGAAATGAACCACCCTTTGAAGACCAGTTTTTCACTTGTGCTTTGGATACCATCTCCTCCTGCAGTCTCAAGTACTTTGTTCCATCAGTTACTTTCTAGTCCAACCTTTCTCTCTAATGACTGTTTTCCTTAATGTTTAAGTCCTTCAGTCTTAAAAATAAAATAATATACCACTGTCAACCTATGTCACCGTTTGGTTACCATTTCTCTTCCCTCTATAAGCTGCATCTTTTGCCATCTTCATCTCCTAAAATAGTTCTTTACTCTTACCTTACCAAATTATTTATCATGCTGTTTCATATCTCTATGCCTTTATACCTCCTGTTCCTGCTATAAGAGTACTCTTCCCCCTTCATTAGGAAGTTAACTCCTACACATTTTTAAAAAGTTAATTAAAACATTTGTTCAGGAAGGCTTGATTTCAATGCGTTTCCTCTGTGCTCTCAGGCCATTATGTGCATACTTCTAAGGCACCACTTCCCATCCCAGGCTATAAGGGTGTTATCACCCTTAGAAATGATCTTATCTGTTTTCCTCGCTAAAATATCTGCTTTTGGGGGATTCAAATCATACCCTAATTTATATTCCTAGCACTCAGGAAAATGCCCACAACATAGAAGGCACTCGATAAAAGTTTATTGAACAAATGAATGTGCCATTTAGTGCCTCTCTATATACCTAGTACACACTAAAACTGGTGAAAAAGATTGAACTCAAATATACAAATATAGCAACATAGATCTGCTCATCAGTGCAGGAAGTAAAGTTAACTAATATTTTAAATTATAGTCATGTGAGAATGGAAAGGTCTTTCAAGCAGAGTCTTATAAGGTGCTATTTCTTGACAACGTTATCATGTATCCAGAGTCCAGATTTGTAAACTTGGATCTTACCATTTCATTCAGTTTTCCAATCCTGGGAAGATGAGTTTGTGTCCACCAAATTCATAAAATCCTTACTAGTACCAAAACGTTAGAGCAATAGTTAACAATTATGGGGCTGAGACTACCACAGTTGTCTGTAATCAGGGTAATTGGAAACATTTTTTTTTAAATCAAGAAAGTGCTGAGCAATATTTGCACTATAAAAGGGACTTGGATAACCAAAGGAATGTTTTTGTGAAGAACCTGAGGAAATATGCCTGCTCCACAGAGAAGAATATTTAAACCTACTTAGTGGGACACCTTCTCCTTTGATGTTGCTGAAGATACACTGACAGATTTGTTTTTTCAGTTTTAGTTTTTCTGGGTACATAGTAGGTGTATAAATTTATGGGGTATATGAGATGTTTTGATACAAGCATGCAATGTGAAATAAGCCCATGATGGAGAATGGGGTATCCATCCCCTCAAGCATTTATCCCTTGAGTTACAGACAACTCAGTTACACTCTTTATTTTTAAATGTACAATTAAGTTATCACTGACTACAGTCATCTTTATTGACAGATTCTCACTCTGTTTCGCATATCTAGGTTTCATGCTGAATACTGCTGTCTCTTTTGGCATTTGGTATTATGTAATCGCTGAGCTTGTTATCTTCATTTCAACAATATCTACTGACACAAAAATTTTGAATCTATAAACTGGAAGATGTTTTTACTCTTTTTCAGGATGGCAGTTATCCTCAGTTTCTGGAGGCGAGGACTTTTCTGCCTAGTGTTAGAAAGTAAAAATGTAGTTCTGTTTTCTATGTGTTTGTAAGATCTAGTACTGCACTCACCAAGTAATTAATCTGCTTTGGGATCATAACTAATACAATCATTTAAGCAGATTAGGTTTGTTTGTTTTTTTTGTATTTTGTTTTTTGTTTTTTTGAGTTTCACTCTTGTTGCCCAGGCTGGAGTACAATGGCGTGATCTCAGCTCACGGCAACCTCTGCCTCCCAGGTTCAAGCCATTCTCCTGCCTCACCCTCCCGAGTAGCTGGAATTACCGACCTGCACCACCACGCCCAGCTAGTTTTGTATTTTTTTTTAGTAGAGGCAAGGTTTCACCATGTTAGCCAGGCTGGTCTCGAACTCCTTACCTCAGGTGATCCACCTGCCTCAGCCGCTCAAAGTGCTAGGATTACAGGCGTGAGCCACTGCACCCGGCCAGATTAGGTTTTAAATAGAAGAATCTATTTAAATATAATCACCTTATGAATTATAAAAGAGAAATAGTACTCACTTCTTATCACTACTAGAACTATTGTCATGTCAAGTAAAGTTATATGAAATTATTAACCATTACTCTCATTATTATTATATCACACCTTTGTCAACTTTATGGTTAAAAAAATACACTAATAGAGTATATAATTTATTTGAACTAAAATTAGCTATTCTTGAATCAATTATGTCTACCAAAAATAAATTGTGTGGATAGGTACAGAATATTTTGAAATTTATTATATTTTATTTAAACATTAGTAAAATAAGAAATTTAAAGTATGAGAAGCAAGAGTGAATCTAAGAAACAGTTCCCAATAAGTCTTCTGCTTCTAAATACTCAGTAGAAAGAGAATAAAGGCATTCCTATTACATTGAAATACAGTCTCTTATTTAGTTATGTACTTAAATTTTTGGCTAAAGAACAAAGATAAAATCTACCATGATATTTAGCAAAATAAAATTAACTGCACAGGATTGGTGAGTGTTTAATTTGCTTACTTTAAAATTAAGTTTTTGTGGGGTGTGGTGGCTCATGCCTGTAATCCCAGCTCTTTGGGAGACTGAGGCGGGGGTTCACTTGAGGTCAGGAGTTTCAGACCAGCCTGATCAACATGGTGAAACCCTGTCTCTACTAAAAATACAAAAATTAGCTGGGCATAGTGGCAGGCACTTGTCATCCCAGCTACTCGGGAGGCTGAGGCAGGACAATTCTTTCAATCCAGAAGGCGGAGATTGCAGTGAGCCAAGATCACATCACTGAACTCCAGCCTGGGCAACAAAGCAAGACTCCATCTCAAAAAAAAAAAATTAAAAATTAAAAAATAAGTTTTTAATCCATGTTACTATTTTATATAATAAATTTAGAATTTCCATGTTCTATGTATACACACAAGAGAAATATTGGTTATGGTTCAAACTTTCTGATATGCTAAACTTAGAAAAATAATCTAACAAATTGTATTTTAAGCAGTTTTGTTGTTCACAGATTTTTAACTCATTCTTATGGTAGTGAAATATATGACACACCAAAAATATGTATCTGAACAAGACACTGAAAAAAGCATTCTTTTTTTCCAACAGGTTTAACACTGACTGTCCTTCATTCAAAAGAAAGAAAAGATTTTCTGGAATCTGAAGGTGTTTTAAAGGGGTAAAAATTCATTCCTTCATCTATGAGGAACAAACATACCAGTTTCACAGGAAAAGCAAAATCTTCCTAGAAGTTAACTTTAAAAATTTAACAAAATCTGAAATTAAGCGATGCCTCTACCCTCTTCCTGAAAAATGCTTTACTTAGGGCACTTTAATTCTGATCATTGTCCTGTGTATTATATGTTATTAGTGTCCAGAAATTTAATTCAATCTTATTTTAACATCCCCTAATAATAATAATGATATTGTTATCGTAGTACAGAAGTGCCTATTTAGAGTACATTTATACCAGTTTCTTTGCTCAGCATTGTTTTTTACATCTTCTTTCTTCGGGGTTCTCCTTCTTCCTGAAGGATGTCCTTTAGAAATTCTTTCAGTGAGGGCCTGCTAATAATAAATCAAGTGTTGAATTGTGTAAAACTCTTTATTTTGCCTCATTTTACATAGAAATTATTTTTTTCAAATATTGGGATCCAAATAATAAAAAACATGTAAATCAAATAGAAGCTCATAAAAACTGGACATAGATACTTTTTAACTTCTAGATTGCTCTGATAGAAAGCAGCAATAGAGAATTTTAATGACAGTAGGTGGTATGTTTTATGAGATTTGAAAATGTTTATGAGATTTTATGAGATAAGAAAGCTAAATTTATGATATTTAAGTGTCCATCTTTTTTTGTTGTTGTTAAATCACTTATGAAGCCCATTAAGAAAAAAAAAAATCCCATTTTAAAGTTGCCAGATAATATCCTGTTATGTAGATTATCTAAGATTAAGACCTTATATTTGTAAGAAAATGAGACTGATTTTTCATGCTGATTTCTGTTATTGATAGTACTCAGGTAACAAAATCAGGCTATCTCCCATTTGAGGATATGAAATGGGCTACAGGTTTTTATATCCTGGTATAAAATATATATGATCATTAAGAAGAAAAATATAAGGAAATTAACACAATTGAAGAGCAAATCAACAGAAAATGCACCAGTGCCTTTCTAAGATGAGGCATAGATTAGAGAAGGATGGAACAGCCAGAAAACAGTCATCTTTTAATAGTCCAAGCAAATAATAACACAAGTATAATGCCATTTTCTTGGCTTTCTTTTGTCTTTAGTACAAGTTCCTGTGTAGTTGTACATAATCAATATATTGGAGCAGATTTCCCCTGGAGTAATTTCACATTTGTGGTGGAATACAATTATGTGGAAGACTCTTGTTGGACTAAACACTGCAAAGATTTGAATATTCCTTACATGGCCTTTAAAGTGATTCTTCCAGACACAGTTTTTAAAAGTAAGAATATAAACCAAAATCCTTTTCCTTTTTTGCTTTATTAGAATGAAAATTTTCTATTTTCTGTTTATGATCTATGGATAAAAATAAGCTGTGACATTAGAAGCCTTGAGTTCAACCTCTAACCCCACCACTATCTGTGTGACCTACGGTAGTCCTTTAACGGTCTCTTACCTCGTAGTCCTCATTTGTAAAGTAAGCTTTACTAATTATATGTTTTCATTCCTTTATCTAACTTCTAAATTTTACTTATAATAGCACAATTTTATTACATTTATGTCCAATCTTAATCTGATGGCTTTTATGCAATAGTATTTTTTATTGATTTTTAGGGGACAATTGTGTAATAGTATGCTAACTGATTCAGAAAATTGTAATATGCAAAACAAATTATCTACAAATACTTAGAAAAAAGTCTAAACCACTTCATATGTCAGTTTATTTCTTTGTATTTGTCAGTAACACCTCATATGACTAAGGCTGTGAATTCTCAGATCCATAAGTCTGATACATTTTTGAGTATAAAACACACTCAGTGTGAGAGTGCATCTCTCTCAGTACTTGCCATCAATTATTTTCTATTCACCTCAAATATGAGTGGGAAGTCTAAATAGATTCTGAGACATTCCAACTCAATTCTAAAAATATGGTCACTATAATGGTTTCTTTGGAATTGATTTTGTGTAACTATTCTTTTATAAATTAACTGTGTATGCCTTTTGACCATGTATCTATTGAGGTATTTATTCTTTTCTTATTGATCTGTAAAATGTTTTCCCTATGGGTTATTGCACATAATTTAAAATCTTTATGTAAATCAGTATATATTTATACAGCACATGTCCAATATATACTTAAGTGAATAAAGCAAGTTTCAACATTTCAGGTAGAGAATGACCCTAATTTTTCTTTCTTTATTGAAGTGAGTGTACATGTGTGAGTATAAGCAGGAAAATATATTGAAAAAAGTCTGGAAATATATGCAAAACTCTGTTTTTACTGTATAGTGGTATTAGTAAACTCTATTAACTTATTTCTAGGTAGGATAACATGGTTTTTATTTTCTTCTTCAAGCCTGTCTTTATTCTGTTTTTGATTTTTTATGCTGAATATTATTTTTATATTACTCCTACTTATCCTCATGTTTAGTAAAAAAAGAGAAAGAGCTGGGAGATGAGAATAAAAGAGAAATATTTGTAAATTTTCTCTTATTTAGGAAGCACCTTGTTGGATACATTTGGAGGTTTTCTTTTGGAAATTCAGATTCCATATGTGTTTTTTGCATCTGAAGGACTTCTTAATACTCCAGACATACTTCAGCTGCTAGAATCCAAGTAAGTTATTGATTTCACAATTTTAACAATATATATGTGTGTGTGTGTGTGTGTGTGCATGTATATATTCTGATAGGCTAAATATTATTGCTGTATATGTGGCTCCATGTGTCTATGATTCAAGTCTGGAATTATATCACAAAAAAATAGTTTTCCAGAGAGTTTATATCAATGTATATTTATTTCCCTATAACACACCCTCATAATTTTAGAATATTATATTTTTGGTAATATTTATCAATTTTATGGACAAAAATAATATTTGTTGTTTAAATTCATGTTTTACTTGCATTTCTTTTGTTGCCAGCGAATATGAACATTTTATATGCTTTTTTCTGTGAATTATATGTTCATGTCTTGAGTCATTGATAATATGGAGAATGAGTATTGTTTAGGGAACTTTACTGCCTGGGAAACAGGACTGTGAAGTTCTAAATGAATTCTCAAGGTTTTAAATCTTTAGATCTAAGGTCATACCAACATTAGACGTTATCAAATCGTGAAACACTTTATCATAACACACAAGTTGTCACAGGCATGTTGGACCTTGGGCTCCATATCAAGGAAGGATAATTGTACTGTTACCTTAGTTAAAATGCAGATGTATGTTCCATGCTTTTGTTTTTATATATTAAGGCTGTGGAGAATTCACAGAAAACTATGAGCTTATAAAAGGTAGTTAAGAGCATGATGGCATGTACCTGTAGTACCAGCCACTTAGGAGGCTGAGGTGGGAGGTTTGATTGAGCCCAGGAATTCAAGGCTACAGTTAGCCATGATAGTACTATTGTACTCCAGGCTGGGCAACAGAGCTGTCTCTAAAAATAATAACAATATATAGTAATAAAATAAAAAGTGCTTAAAATGTAAGTCATTTTTAAGGAATAAAAAAAGGAAATTCTGATAAATGCAGAATATTTTAGTCCCATAATGTTTTGATTTCATGAATTATTATTTAAAGAGCTAGAAAAAATTGGTCAAAACATTTGTAATAGTGTTATGTGCAGTAACATTTAGCACAATGCCTAAGGCAACACACATCTCAGCTGATTTGTTTTATATACTGAATAAATCGTAACTTTATGCTTCAAATTTTATAAAGTAGAACAAATTGACATGTAAAAGAAAAAGCATAGAAATCCAAATAACTTAACATTCAGGAGGACACTACAACTTTTCTTAAATAATTTTATTAGCATTTCATTTTTTCACTCAAGAATACTGTATTTTACAGCTATAACATCTCACTAGTAGAGAGAGAATGCAGTGAGTCATTGAAACTCTTCGGAAGTTCAGAGCGTTATGTAGTGGTAACAGTTGATGAACACACTGCCATAATTTTGCAGGTAAAACTAGGTAGAAAAAATATAAACTAAAATAGATTAAAATATATAGCTATGTAATTTGTTATTATCTTTTCTGTAGGAAGCTTAACTATAATCTATTAGTGATTTCTTCTAAATTTTGCAAATGGGCCACAAGTGCTAAAATCATCACTGTGGAAAATGACTATAATCAAACTTCTCTGATGCCTTATGGCTTTTTAACATACTTTAAGAAGATAGGGCAAATAAAGAATATTTAATATTGTGTATTAACCTATTTTAAGTGTATTTATAGAATAATTATAGTATTGAAAGCTTTAAAAAAGCAATTTCCAGCCACTTTATTTATTACAAAGAGATAATATATTAATTGATGATTGATAATATTGAATTTCCAATCATTCATTGCATTTCCAATGTAAATAGGAGTTGTCTCTAAGTAAGCTAGTTTTTAGAGAGAGAATTTCTCTCCAAAAATTCATATAGTTTGGAATTTTCTATGTATAAATTCTTGGGTGAATCTCCCTGATACATTTGCTTGATTGAAGAACCAATTGAAAAGAAATTAATTTATTGGGGTGGGAGTAGGAGCAGAAACCAGGTTTGATGGTATGCAATATAAATATTGCAATATATTAATGGCCAATATGTGTTTTGATAAGCAAATGTTATAGGAATTATATGATGGAAAAACGCAACTCTATTAGAGATTTTTAAGAGATACTATGTCATGTATATATAAAGTTCTTAAACAATATTTTTCTGTTTGGCAAAACTGTTTGTTTGTTTTTAGAGATAGGGTCTCACATCATTGCCCAGCCTGGAGTGCAATGACACGATCATAGCTCACTGCAGCCTCGAACTCCTGGGCTAAAGTGATCCTCCTATCTCAGCCTCCCAAGTAGCTGGGACTACAGGCATGCTCCACCACACCCAGCTAATTTTTTAATTTTTTGTAGGGACAGCGTTGTGCTATGTTGCCCAGGGTGGTCTTGAACTCTTGGCTTCAAGTGATCCTCTCACTTCAGCCTCCCAAAGTGCTGGGGTTATAAGCATGAGCTACCATGCCTGGCTGGCAAAACTGTTGTAGTCCAATTACATAACTTATTGTTAGAGGAAGGTCATTTTTTGAATTCCTTATCTTTCAAAAATTACTTATGTTAAAGGAAAAGGAGATTCCATACCATTAGGTAGAGATTCCCAGAAAGTCCATTAACTGCTCCTTTCTTATCTCCCCTGAATAACCATGCAGTGTACATTATCTCATAGGTTTTAAACATATTTTCTGTTGCCTTTGGAGTGACCAGATCCTAGTCCACAAAGGACTTGCATCCACAAAGGACTAGGATCTGGTTATTCCAAAGGCAATAGAAAATTGGACTAGCCTATGGAGTGCCAAACTAGGGGCACTCCATAGGCTACTTTCTTCATAACTGGGACCTTGGGAGATTCAGGAGCCTTCCTTGCTGACGCTGTCATTAGGTGTTTTATGTCTACTGTAGCTTTTCTCCTACTACTTCCTGCACGATTTTAATTTTTCCATGAAATGGGGGCTCATACCCACGCCTCTTTTCAACTTATTTGTATGTCATAGATTCTTGAAATATGATAACATAATTTCATAATAACTGTTCAACCTAATGAATTTTTACATTTTCTTTATTTTCTTATAGGATCTAGAAGAATTGAATTGTGAGAAGGCATCAGACAATATCATTATGAGGCTGATGGCATTATCATTACAGTACAGATATTGTTGGATAATTTTATATACCAAAGAAACATTAAATTCAGAGTAGGTAAACATTTCTTCATCCAAAGTTATGTTTGTATTTCTTAAGCCTAAGTCCTCTTATTTGAATGGAAATAGCTATGCAATTTTCTGTGTGCTCATCTAGTTTGCTTTAAGTCAAGGACTCTCAAGTTGGAGGTATGATCACAGGAAAACAAATTTTGGAGATGATATGTTTCCTTGGACATGCTATGAAAGCCATCCTCCCCTCCCCCATCTCACTAAGAATTGCTGCTTGAAGTATTTTATTATTTTGTAATTCTGGACTTGTCCGATTGCTGTCTAACTACTGTACTAAATTTTTTGTATACACTTGTTATCAGGTTGGTATAAGTTCGAATATAAGAGTCTAAATACCTTGGTTTTTATTCCTCCTTTTACTAACAAATAATCTCTAGCAAGTGATTTAGCCTGGTTTTACCCTTCTGCCAGAACTGAAAAATAATAATTCCGGTCTAAAACCTTCATTTTGAAGAATAATAAAGGGTGTAAAACATTTTAAGCTTTGAACTTTCTTGTAAAGCATTTTAAGCTTTATCTGGAACTTGGACGTGTTCTTAGTAAAAAACTGATTTGGAAATTTTTAAAAGTTGTTTTAGATTACTGTCTACCTATAGTTCTAGTAGTGCAATTGAGGTATAAGGGAGAATAAAAGGAGATTCAAACTTATTTTTACCCAGATTTTCATGAAAATAATTATCTAATACTCTGAGATAGTTTTATATTCAAGATGTAAACAGCAAATAAATATTCACAATCATATATTATAAAATATAACAATTTTCAGACCTCTAGATATCTCAGATTCATATTTTTAGAGAATGAGAACATTTAGGAAGTATCTTAATCAACTGACCAAATTAGGAAAACTGAAAATACAACAGAAATTGTTTGAATTACATTAGTGTTCATGCCATTAATTCTTGTTTGAGTGAGAGTGTCAGGGGTCCCTGAGACCATTCTGAGGTTTGATAGTTTGCTACAAGGACTCACAGAACTCAGTATATAGCTGTATTCATGGCTATAATTTATTATGGTGCAAGGTTACAATACAAAGGCCTATAATGCAAAGTCAGCAAAGGAAAAAAGCTCATGGGGCAAAGTCCAGAGGAAACTAGGAGGAAGCTTCTAAGAGTCCTCTCCTAGTAGAGTCATACAGGATGTGCTTAACTTCCTCAGCAATAAACTCTTATAACACTTGTAAAATTTTCTCTACCAGACCAGCTCATTAGAGACACAATGCCCAGGGTTTTTTTTTTAAGGGCTGGTCAAGTAGGCACCCTCTGCCTGGCACTTAATCAAACTTCTAGACTCTAAGAAGAAAAGCAGATGTTCAACAGAAACTACATTGTTTGTCAACAGTTTAGGCACAGTGTTCTTATCAGCTTCTCATATGGAAAGAGCTAATCTGAGAAAGAATTCAAAACAGGAAAGAAGAGTCAAGAAATAAAGAGAGCCATTATCTTGATGGTATTGTTTGAGTCCCAGGATCCAACAATGGCTTCCTCTGGACTTCTTCATAATATAAGCTAGTAATTTCCTCTTTGTTGCTTAGGGTACATAAAGTGGGTAAAGGTAGTAGAACTATCTACCCACAGTTCAGCACTTACATCTGACCTGCTTAGTAACCACAGAAGGAAAAGAGAAAGATGCATTTTCTAACAGTTTAGGGAACTCTGGGAGGATTCCATGTATCCTGGTTCTGGTCATGTGTCTATGTCTGAACCTGTTACTTTGACCGGGGGGATGGAGTATTCTAGTTGGCTAGGCTTTGGTCATAAAGCCATCCCTGGAGTCAGTAAAGGGATGGGTTAAGTTCGTCCCACAACACACACCTCCCCTAACACACACACCCTTAGCATCCCCTAGATTTGACAGTATTATTAAAGAATGGAGATGGAGATGTTTTTTCAAGAGTACAGAGTGGAAAAAAACACAGACAAATTTGCCACACTGGTGTTGTCTTAGCTAGGTTATTCTAAAAATATTATGAAATGTGGAAAATAAAATTAATTTTTAATAAATATAATCTAATATCAAATGAATAGAAATATAGTAATATAATTCTTTGTAGGTATCCACTTACAGAAAAGACACTTCATCACCTAGCACTGATTTATGCAGCTTTGGTTTCATTTGGGCTAAACTCTGAAGAACTGGATGTAAAGGTATTCTTTTCCTATGTGTTTCTTCATAAGTATTTTTTATAAACCAAAATTATACTCAAATTTAAGTGCCCAATGAGAAAAAAGTGTTAAGCAAATGAGTTAAAAACTGTTTAAAAGCTAAATAAAGAATAGTTTTCAAATTAACAAATATTTTATCATTATTCTATTCCAAAAGGCTTTAGTTTAATGAATTTAAAATCATATTTCGTCTCTTTATTACTACTCAGATGTTTTCTAAACATAGCAGGATATGAATAAAAATAAATATCCCTTGATTAAAAATGTTCCTTATGAAAGATGTACTAAGCTTGTATCTGCTGTAAATGGAACTCTTAAGACATATACTAGAGGTAATATATTGGTGATCTCTAAGCATTCTCTTTCCTTGGTCCCCTTTTTCAGTGTCCCGCTCTGAAATTTAGACATTTGTCCAAGTTCAGGGCTCGGCACTGTTCCATTATCATATTACATTCTCTTCTTTATGAAATTAGAGATTTCCACAGATTTTGCTTTCATTTCTGAGTATAATTCTTAAAGTTTTCTTGACATTTCTTAAGGTCTGCACCTGTATTCTAGCAGACTACTGGGAATCTCCACGTGAATATCCAACAAGTACTTCAAACTCTACATGTCCAAAACACAGCTTCTCATCCTCCCACAAGCTTAGTTTATGGTATCATTATTCCAATTTATTTGGTAGGTAAATCTTCTTTTTAACACTGCAGTGTCTCTAGAATATGTCTCTCCTTCTACTTCTGCTATTTCCCTAAATTCAGGTCTTTGTCACCTCACAGTTGGATTTTTAAAGTAGCTTCCTAACTAATATCCCTTTTCTACTCTTTCCCCACTTCAATCCATCACATATAGACACCAATTACATTTCCAAAATACAGCTGTGAATATTTCACTCACTAGACTATAAGCTCCTTAAAGGTAAGGAAACATGTTTATTCATTTTTTTTATTCCTGGAACCTAGCACAATGCCGGGTACATAGTAGTCTCTTGATAAAAATTTGCTTTTGACTTGAATTTCTTGCTCAAAGACTGTCCATAGCTTCCTACTTAAATCAACATAAAGTTCAAACTCAGCTGGATTCAAACTCTTCCACAATGTGGCCCTTAGCGATTCCTTCTTTAACATTATTGTACTCACTATTTACTGAATATGCCTCCATACTGTCACCTCTCAGCCTTTGCACAAACATGTCATTCTGGCCTGCCTTCCCCCAGGAATATTATTGCCCCATTCTCTTACCACTAACTGTCAGAGTTCTACCTGTCTTTCACTGCCCAGTTCAAACACTACCTATTTTAAGAAACTTGCCCCACATCATGCTACCTGACTTCAAACTATACTACAAGGCTACATTAACCAAAACAGCATGGTACTGGTACCAAAACAGAGATATAGACCAATGGAACAGAACAGAG